TATCCTCGGAAATATACTAGTATAAAAATTTAACAAAACCGTGCAAAGACGTGTGCAGATGTCGATGAAGATAAGAATATTGAGAAATTAATTCAAAAACTAAATAGCTGATACACCTAAAATCCTTTAGAATGGAAATAGGATCTTAATAATAAACAGTGTAATAAATGTTAAATTTTGTTAGTATCATTTTCTTAGATTGTCGTTTTAAAGGTCTATAATAAATTGAGTTTGATGTGTTTCGTATAAACAACGTATAGACGTCTGCTCTATAAATATCAACCCAACTATACATCCACCTACATTGTATCTTCTTTTTAAAGGGTGGTACCAGTATAACGTATCTGTTATTGACAATGGTTGGAACGATTGTTCTTCTGGTGTGTCGTACGTGCGGAACTCGACTATTGACTCTATGCCTTTTGTTGCTGCATTCGTTTGTAACAATCACGGAAATATGAGGTTAGATATATCTACTGCTATTTGGTTTGATTTTTGCAAATGATGCATTTACCCCTGAATATAGAAAGATAAAAAACAGAAATTATTTAATGTCTATAATATTTTTGACAGATATAAACTTTTAGGAGGTTCGAGTTTATCTAGTGATTTTATGGAGATATTCCGCTGTCACTCTTGTGATTATAATTGTGACTTGGTATATGGTTACCCCTATGACGAAGTCTGTTCTACATCTAATTGTAAACAATATTGCAGAGGCGGCTTTTATCACTACAATGCTCAAGGTTGGTGCAGTTTATGGTGAAATACGAAATATACATGTATTTCAATGAGAATGTTTTATTTCAGAACCCTATATGTTGTATATTCTGCATAAATTCGTAAGCAAATTAACATATATTTGACACTATAATGCATTCAATTTTTATGCAGAAACAGTTATTGTCAAATAAGGCATCGAATTCCATTCATGCAAGTTGCCTTTCAAAAAAAATAAATAAATAAATAAATGAAGCTTTAGTGGGGTGTCCACATATATACAAATTCCATAAAAATTCTATCGAAATTAACAAGTGCATCTAGTTATGGATTGCCAAACTACTGATAATCCTTATGAAAATGACACCAAATCTAAATCCACAGCTTTCAAATAAAAATAAATGGGTTTTTTTTGCATAAAAGTCTACCTTTTCAATCACAACATGGCTTACAGTTCGCCAACACAGAAAACTGAGCTTATATATACATGTAAGTTTTATCGAAGACATCCAGAAGCTCATATAATTTGAATTTTGGTTCATTACAAAAGGAAATTGTATTCCCTTTATAGTGATTGATATTTATGATCTACATGTATATTCAAAACGTAGGTTTATCTTTTTAAAGCTGAATTGTTTTTTGATAATATTTTTTAGGTTATTGTCGAAACAGTAGTCATTTGCAGTTTAGTTATCGTCCTACTGGATGTCCTTCCCAGTGTTCGCATTGGTACACACTAAGCTATATCGAATGTGGAATAGAGATTCCTTGAAACTCTGAGATATAAAATATACTATTACAATTGTAGGACATCGGAAATAATGCCATGTCTCCATTTTTGTTTTAAAGTCTTCTTTTTTTTTTTTTTTTGTAAGTTTTGAAAAAGGAAACAATGTGTCTTGAAATCGTGGAAAAATTTTTACATTTGAAAATATATATAAATATTTTATATTTTGTTTTTCAAAGGACAATATAAAAAAAAAAAAAAAAAAGCTTGGAAATAGTTATGTTAAAATATTGTCATTTTAAAATTATTAAAATGGTCTTTTCAAGAAACCTTCTTTTGTGTTGATGTAAACATTAATTAAAAACATAGTCTTTTTCAGTGTTGATAATTCATTTACCAAGATATGTTTATTTTTCATTCTCTTAAGGTAAGTCACTCGTCAGCTTTTTAGAAAAGTTCATGCAGAACCTCTAACTTCAAAAATATCTATCAAAATTCAATTTTTATAAAATAATTATATTCAACAATGTATATGTTTTAAAAATCAAAGAAAAAACTGCTCAAAAATCTTCAAAGAAGCAAGATGTATTAGGGACTATTTTTCGTGGTGGAAGGATATTTAGCAGAAATTTCTGCAAATCTGCACATTTATTAAATTTAACGTCTTGAAATTTTAGCCTCACATACTTTTACTCGGAGAATATTTTCAGTTATGATATTTATAGGAATATTTTATATAGGTCTTAATTTAAATTTTTAGAATAAGTTTAAGATCTTCCTTCAACAAACTTTGCCAAAAACTGGAGATATGTCAAAGAAGTCAAGATAAATTTTACACCATATTTTGCCTGAAAATCACATATTTTGTCCAATATTTCAAAATTAACATCACTGACCCAAACTTTTTCTTTCATTATTTTAAACTTCTCGATACTTATGACTGATCAGCACTTAAGTCGTACAAAGCTTGATATAAGAAAATATTATATTGCCAACTTATTTTTCTAATGCCCAAAATATGTAATATTTTAGTGCAAAAAGGTCACATAATTATTTACGCGCATTAATTTGCAAGATTTGATCAATGATAAATATTATTCAAACTATTTTACGTAAAGTAAGAATAAATTCGTTGCCATGGTTACAGCTGAAAAAATAGAATAAGAGATAATTGTATAAAAGTAATAAACTAAGGGGTTAAAATCTAAGTGCAAATAGGTCATCTTAAATGTACCATACATCAGTACGATGCACACTGAACCCCTATTTTCTCTTCGATTTTGAGTCACACTTTATGAGTACTTATCCAAAATATACTTCTCAAAAAATCCTTGATATAAGAAATTTAAGGAGTGACTTACCTTAAACCAAGTATCCAAAAGTTGCGCTAGGCATACTGTAAACCAACTTTTATTCGCGTGCGAGAAATTTTCGCGAACTTCGCGAAAGCCTCGTCATCGCGAATATTTCTCGCCGCGAACCGTTCATTATAGTCTATGTGTCTATTAACAACCGAACCTAAATAGCCGTGATCGCGAAAAATAATCGTCGCGAACTAGTTTACCGCTGGTAAATCGCGAAATAAAGTCGTCGCGAATAAAAGTTGGTTTACAGTACTCGAAGCAAGATTGAAAGTTAAAAATAAGGGACCCAAACAAGAAAGATGTTTTAAAACATTCTAAATGTACAAAAATATTCTAAAGTTGATATTAAAAGTTTGGGTTTCAGATTGACAATATCTATGGTGCTTATGAAAATCAGGTCATTTTCCATAAAACTATTGGAATCCCAATTTTGTAGCAAATTGCGTCCTGATTTAGCAGACCCAGTTTTTGAATTAATATGAAACAGAATGAATTGACATATATATTTCAACATGAGATGTAAAAAATCATTTATGTGCTCAGATCGAATTGAAATAAATTCAACATACATCTCTGTAATAAATCGACAAACAGGACAATCTGTAGAAATTAGTCAGTAAAAAATGGCCGAACAATGATTACGAAAAGGACGACTTTCGACTTAAACTGCTCGGAGACATATTCATAAAACAAAGACTCGAAAACTATAAAATGTTTACAATTAAAAAGGATTTATGGGGGGTAACTGGGGTTTTATTGTGTGAAAACTACAGAAGCGAAACTCTTCATTTTTTATACAACATATAACTTACATTAACTTCAGTGTACTTGCAAAGTTTGGGAGAAATCTACCGTTCAGGTATTTTTGAGGGGCCGTCTCAAAATAGAGGTACATTTACTAAAGGATTATATAGGAAAATGCCAATTTTTAACATTCTAAAGCAAAATACACAAATACGACAATAGACGTTTTGGTCAATCTATCATATGATATATGATGAGCAACACTATATCATGCAATATATGTAAGAAACACAAAATTCTACCGTCTTGTTGCCAGAGGAGGCATCTCAAAATGCTAAAAATTTTAGACAGACACAAAGGATTCATATGAAAACATAATAAAAGTAATGGAGATATTCTCAAATGTCTATATTTAAAATTTCAAGAGCGTATGCTTATGACTTTTTCTTTATGAACACTTTTATTAACCTTTTTTTAAGAGCTTTTATTTATCATAACGTCAAAAACACACTGTAACGACATCAATCTACCTATCGATCGCAAAGTCGGTTAAAAAATCAGTTATGTAAAATTGTAATTACATTTTTATTCATATAATTTCTTTATTTTGATTAATTTTAACACGCATTCTCTGTAAGCACCAAAAAATCTTGGAAACGACATGTCTCGGATTTTGATGAAATTTTCACCATAGGTGTGTCTTAGTACAAAACTAGTAAATATGATGTCGGAAGTTCCACACGTGCCCTTGGTTGCCATGGAGACGGATCCATTGAATTCGGCCATTTTTGGCCAATTTTCACTAAATGAAAACATGAAAATTGAGGAAATGTAAATGAATATTTATCGGTATCTAATACACTCTAACAAAAATCATTGGATCATATGATAACATGACCTTTTAAGGTACACAGAGCATATAATCGTTTATTATAGAAATATTCCTCCTGTAAGAAAAAGGTCATGCAAAATTACATGGTTTCTAAAAATTTGAAAAATGGGGAAGTTGGAATTTTTTGACATATTTGAGGCTAAAAAAGAAAAATTGTCCGCGGAAATTTCCCAAATCTTATATGTATTATTATACTTGGGAATACGTAGTGTCATTTCATGAAAAAACATAAGTGGGCTTTTGCTCCTATTTTTAGTAACATGTATCTATAAATAGATATATTTTTGAAAAATGTGAAAAATCAAATTTTGGCAAAGTTTTAATTGTCATTACTGCATAATTAGAACGTATGTTGTAAAATTTGAAATTTTAATTACAAGAGCTGGACACCATTAGCTGGTATGGACAACGGTTGAGGGGAATTCCCATTTCTATTTTTAGTAACAGGTGGCTAAATATAGAGATGTCTCTGAATATTAGGAAAAATGGCATTTTTGTTTTAATTGGAAGCATCATATAAAAAGTCCTAACAAATATAAAGCTTTCTACAATATGCTTTCAGAATGTACATGTGTTTGTTCAAAAATTGCTATAATATTGAGGATGGACTCTTGTCTCATTTAATGGCAATAATGGTCTAAAAATAGGATACTCGAATAATTAAGAAAATGTAGATTATTGCACCTTTTCAGGCAATTTTTAGATGTAGTTGCTGCATAATTAGGAAATATTTTGTAAAATTTTAGATGTAAATGACAGGATCTGAATACCTCTAGCAGGTATGGATAATTGAAGAGGGGAATTTCCATTTCTATTTTTAGTATCAGGTGCCTAAATATAGAGATGTCTCTGAATATTAGGAAAAATGGCCTTTTTGTTCTAAAAGGAAGTTTCATATAAAAAGTCCTAACAAATATTGAGCTTTCTGTAATATGTTTACAGAATGTACATGTGTTTGTACAATAATTGCCACAATATTGAGGATGGACTCTTGTTTCATTTTATGGCATCAATTTTCTAAAAATAGATTACTCGAATAATTTGAGAAAATGTAGATTATTGCACCCTTTCAGGCACTTTTTAGATGTAGTTGCTCCATAATTGGGAAATAAGTTGGAAAATTTTAGATGTTAATGACAAGATCTGGATACCACTAGGTGGTATGGATAATTGTTGAAGGGAATTCCCATTTCTATTTTTAGTAACAGGTGGCTAAATATAGATATGTCTCTGAATATTAGGAAAAATGGCATTTTTGTTCTAATTGGAAGCTTCATATAAAAAGTCCTAACAAATATAAAGCTTTCGACAATATGCTTTCAGAATGTACATGTGTTTATTCAAGAATTGCCACAATAATCTTCTTTCATTTCATATAAAGAATGGTTTAAAAATAGGTTATTCGAATAATTGAAAAAATGTAGATTATTGCACCCTTTCAGGCACTTTTTAGATGTAGTTGCTGCATAATTGGGAAATATTTTGTAAAATTTGAGATGTTTATGACAAGATCTGGACACCACTAGCTTGCCAGGTATGAATAATGGTTGAGGGGAATTCCCATTTCTATTTTTAGTATCAGGTGGCTAAATATAGAGATGTCTGAATACTAGGAAAAATGACATTTTTCTTCTAATTGGAAGCTTCATATAAAAAGTCCTTACAAATATAAAGCTTTCGACAATATGCTTTCAGAATGCACATGTTTGTACAATAATGCTACAATATTGAGGACGGACTCTTGCTTTATTTTATAGCAACAATGGTCTAAACATAGATTACTCGAATAATTGAGAAAATGTAGATTATTGCGCCTTTTTTAGGCACTTTATAGATGCCATTGCTGCTTAATTAGGAAGTATATTGTAAAATTTGAGATGTTAATGACAAAAGCTGGACACCATTAGTCGGTGTGGACAATGGTTGAGGGGGTTTCCCAATTCTATTTTTAGTATCAAATGGCGAAATATAGATTTCTCTCTAAATATTAGGAAAAAATGGCAGTTTTTTGCTAATTTGAATCTTCCTAGAAAATGTCTTAAATATAAAGCTAACTACAATATGCCTTCGAAATGAACACTTGTTTGTACAGGAATTGCTACAATATTTAGGACTGAC